TACTCGCATAGTCCATGACTCACAAAATATATGACACAGGAATCCAACTTTATTCAATGTATCTCAGAACACAAAAACTTGTATTTTTGACATACACTCACAATATCATCTTCTATTTCTGTGGACAACAAGATAAGAAAAAGTTCCAAAAAGCTGTCCCTCCTACTCCAGCTCAGCTAACCGCTCTCATCTAAGGTGGGGAGGAAGGGACTGACACTATTCAGGGGAATCCTTTTCTCCCACCCCAGGCAGGGCCTCCACAACAGGTCTGTAACATGAACCCTCTACCTTGTGCAGTTTTCACTAAGTGTTTTTCTACACTCAGTTTCTGACAGCAGGGAGAACCTTATACACATCTATTTAATTAACACTTAAACATACATGTTTTTCACAGTAGTTCTAGCAAGAACAAAAATTTGAAGCTGTCATAGTGAATTTTTTGATACTTCTGAGACTGCCTTGCCAAAAGTAAAAGGGCATACTTGCCTGCATCCAATAAACACACATAAAAAGGAGCATTTCTTCATACAACAGGGACAAATGGGAAAACCAAAATCCACCACAATCAGAAATGAGGGCCAGGAGAGAAGGAAGCCAGAAAGCTACCAATAAGACACAGAGCCTGAAGGAACAAAACTGGGCTCACGCTTTCTATAAGGCGGCACTCTCATTTCTAATGCACATGTTGGGAGACCTGGAATCTGTGTGCAGGCTTAGGAGATAGGTCACAATACCAGGTACTACAGAAACAAATTGAGAATTGCTCTGATGAAAGATAACCAAGAGAAGCCTGAGAACCTTTAGAATGGCCATTATTAGTTGTAGCCCCTCCTGCACATCCTCAGTTAACAATTCTCAAGTTAGAAAGAGGCCTTCCAGAAGACCTGCACATTCCTTCCTTTCAATCCCAATTTACATTGAGACCTTCTTTATTCCCAGGGGAGGCAACGAGAGCATGAATTCATGTCCTCATTTCAAAAAACAGACAGAATGGAGGTGCTGGCTTCTCAGGTCTTCTAAGAGGGTGAGGATGAAGCAGTTTCCTAATAGAAAACAGCTAGCTCCTGGAAAGTCTACATTCTAAAGACTCAACCTCCAGGTTTATGATAAATTCCACAATTTCTGATTCTTAAAACAAATACTATTAACAGACCTCATGTGTTGCCATACTTTTACCTGAACTAGTTCTCAAAACATCCTGGACTGACAAAAATGGTCACAGAAAGCCCTGTCAGGGGATCACCTCAATAACCAGAAAACTGCAGCCCAAGCATATGTAAGTCTTTGGAAAGGAGCTTCTACACTGCTGAAGTAGCACTAAAGTGACAAATGACAGTAACCCAATGGCCCAGGGCCAGTGAATTCCACTGCAAATGATTTATCTGTTTTGTGTCACAATGATTCTTGCATGTATGGCAGTAAATAGAAATGCGACAGCTTAATTACAAATTCAAAAGCCAGCTCTCCCTGCTGTTTTTCATACTTTAGTATACTATCAGAAAGTACCCTCAACTGTTAAGCACCTTTAATGTGCACCTGAAAAATCAGGTCCATTACTAAAGTAGTTACCTGGCTGAAATTCATAAAAAAAATTTTTTTTAAATATTTCCTTGATAGAACTAGGGATCATTAAGTAGGGATGACACAACTTTTCTCTATTATTTGTATATTTATAGTCTGTGCACAACACTAAGGAAATGGTCCTCTAAGCTTGGCATTAAGTAGTCATTAAGCTTTGAAACCCTTTCCTCAAGGTTTCCTATGTGAACCACTCTTTAAATGACGTCAGTTCCACAGAAAAGAGCACTAGAGTAAAAGTCTGTACTGTCTTTTGCTCCAGAGGGAATTTTAGAAGGAGGCGGGTCCACTTCTTAAACACCCATTTCAGTGTACTGTGGCCCAACTAGATGGGCTCAAGAGCGTGAGGGTGGGGTCCTGGATGATCTGTGGGTGGGCATGCAGAAATACAGAAACCTTGAGGCAACCAATCACTCCCAGAGGTTTAACAGCTATCTAATCTTGGACACAGTAATTTGCTATACAGAGGAAAACTGGTATCATCCAATATTCTATCAGTATTTCAGTATTTACTTCTGCTGCTCACTATGTGGGCAATAAAAAACAGTCTCTTTCAAGAATTATTAATGCAGCTGTCAGTTATAAACAAATACTCACCAATACACTACCCACACTATGCCATATGCCCTAAAGTGGAGCCAAGAAATTCCACCTTGTAAAGATGATATGATAGCCCCAGTATTGCAATAATGAAAAGGAAGTGGGGGAAAACCTCTGCGGCTGAGGAGGACCAGGACAGCCACATTAATGAGAAGGATGGGGTGGGGATGCCACTAAAAATTACAAGAACTTCTGGTCTGAGGAATAAGAATTGGTTGGTTCAAATTAATTAGTCCAAATCATTTAATAGGCTCCCTCATGACAAGTATTCAAAAATTAGAGAGGTACTTACATTTCAGTTCTCAAAGTTCATCATCTTTACTTGATGAAAGAAATAAATGCCGAAAGCTAATGGCATTAAAAGGTTTGAGTTTTGCTTCAATCCAGGGAACAGAGTTCAGTCATTACTTTCTAATAAGATCTAAATCTATACTAATTTGTAAAATTGTAACTTTAGTGGTCCAATTTTAAAACAGGAGTCTTACAGTTTGTGAATGGCAAACAAGTAACATGCACAGTTATTGCTGAGCACATGTAAAGTACTCCAACAGTATTTGTTGAATTAATGAATGGCCACTGAGGCTGTAGAATGCCTTAGGATATTAAGCCGCTAAATAAAATAAATTTATTAAAATGCTCAGACTGACTCAAGCAGGATCCAATAATTAAATACTATCATCGATGAATTCATTATTTTCATTTTTATTCTTTCAAAAAGAATATCAGATGACTTTACTTACTACCTTCTTCATAACAGAACTCAAAAGCATTTAAATCACAATTTAAAGCAAAAAAAAATTTAAATCAAACTTTAAAATGTTAACACCAAAGTGTTGATAACAATTATGTTCAGTTAACTTCTGCCACTCCACTTTTCTAAAGCTTTGTCCTGGCAATATTGTATAAAACAAATACTAGAACAATGAATGCAATCACAATTACTGTCATACATTATGACCACTTTTATAATTTTTGCATTGTGATAGTACTCACAACAATGAAACTGAATGATGACTCAACATGCTTTCTTCATTTCAAAATCACTCTACTGCATATCAGTTCACTATAAATCTTTTACGTGCTAAAAACTACTTTTGGTTGTCAAAAAGGCAAATATCAAATTTCTTTTAAAAATATCTGTGAATCACGCATTTGTAAAACTTACTCTAAATACACCAAGCAAAAAACTACTAAAAGAAAACTTTTGTGCAAAGAACTATACTCAATCCTTACAAAAGTATACGTAAAAGTGAACCAAAACATGAAAGGGAACATCCTAATGCAAAGTAAAGAATCAAAAATTTAACGAAATTGCAGCTTCTTCGAAAACCTAATTTTAAAAAAAAAGGTTTTCGCGTATGCAATGCCACAATTAATGAGATGCCACAATTAAAACTGACTTTACTTCCAAAAGGGCAACAAAACCAACTGCTAATATGAAGAGGATTTACTGGCCACCAGCTACTTTGTTTCATTTTCCCTTATTTAACACAAAAACATATTGAGATCGTATAAAAGCGATAATTTCTAGGGATTGAATATCAAACCACGGGCGATGTGAAAGCCAGCCTGACAAATAATACCACAAGCCGGTTTTTATCCAGGGTAAATGTAATTTGGGCGAGCTGGGGTGGGAGAGGGAAATAAGAACTCAACCCTACACGTACATTCCCAAAATAAAAGCCAAAGGTGCATTTTTACTCTCTACACTACCCGAATGAGTAGACTCGGCCCCAAAGCTTTAGCCAATGTCTGTTAAAGGGACGCCGGGCAGCGAGATTCGTGCAAAAGATGTTCACTCCATTCCAAGTAAAAGTGCGGTTCTTGCTACTTATTGCTAGTTTTCTTTGCAACAGTAACCTACGGCTGCTCCGGAGTGACTGGAGACTAGGTAAGCAGAACACCCCAGTGATCTATTAAGCTGAGGAGGCAACCTCTGGGAGGCAAAAGGGAAATAGGGTGCCCCCAACCTTGGCGGCTCGTTGCGGGCAGAGGGGCGACCTGAGAGCTGCCTGGGAGGCTCGGTCGCTCCGGGGGGCTCCCGCGCGCCGCCCCCACCCCACGGTCCCTAAGAGCAGCTCGCCGCCGGGCCCCATTTCCACGCCCTGCGCGCCCGGTCGGCCCGGGGAGTTAACCCCTTCGCGCCCCCAGACCTCTCCAAGCAGGGCCCCCGCAGCGCGGGCGCAGAGGCGACGGGAGGCTCGGGGCCTAGTCCCGGGCAGCGTGTCCCGGCGCCCTCCCCCACTCCCACACGCTCGCTCCGGGCAGGGAGC